CTAGTCATATTCCCATTGCTCTGACACAGTAACCACCACCAATAACTTAAAGGAGGAGAGGTTTGTTTTGCTCATGATTACTGTGGGTGGCCAGCTGGATTCCAGCCAGAAATGGCGCAACAGTGAAAAGCTTCTCAGTCATGGTGACCAAGACGCAAAGAGCCACATGAGAAGCCGTGAGGGCAACATACCCTTCCCAGTCACTGCTGCCTCTTCTGACCGGACCGCACCCCCTACCAGCACATTCAGCGACAGTGCCCTCATGTTCAGTCCCTTTCCAAAAGCCCAGCTTCTGAGTGTGTGAGAGGGTTAGAGGTCAGTCTTGATCTAAACCACAACAATCTCTTAGGGAGCTTTTTCCTATTTTTCATTTATACTGTTAAACTATTTCTTAGAAAAAAATGACTAAAGGTCACTATGATTCTGGGGAATTTCAGTGATAGCTTGTTTCATACAAACTAAAACAAAAAAGGTAATCATTTCAGCTCACTGCATTCCCTAGAAAAGGTAAATTCACCAAATAAATTTATTTCTCCAACCAGATGTAATTAGTAAGAGTGATAAAATGTCAAGCAGAAACCACAGAGACAGAGTCATTTATTCCAAACTCCATTTACATAGGGAGGATCTGAGCCCAGGCCACCCAGCCAGGTGTCAGAAGCTCAGAAATTAGAGCACCCTCTGAAATGAAATCCTGGAATGTAGGAAAGGATGAAAAATAGGGACTCTGGGTATCCCAGCATCACTGGATATTCATATAGTAGGATTTGGAATCCAACCAGAAAGTGATAAGACACCAAAATAGTCTGGAAATAAAGCAAGAAAGAATTACATAGCAATTGAGAAGAAAGAGAGAGAGAGAGAGAGAGAGAGAGAGAGAGAGAGAGAGAAGCAACTGTGACCAGCCAGCTCATAAGACAAGACCATAATGAATCATGAGCCTGGAGCAGTTAATAAGCTTCCTGTCTGAGTAACACAGTAGCCTCCCCACACTTGTGATTAGGACCAAACTAGGGAAGACCCTTTCCTTGGTCCTCCAGTTACTGACATAGAAGGAAGCTTGCCTTATATCTATAATGCCAAAGGCTCTAGTGGACTCTGAATCTTGGTCTTTTCCGGGATATACCACAAGAAATATCTTGCAAAAGAAAAAAATCTATAATATGTTGTGATGCCTCAAAACAGAAAAATATTCTCAATAAAATAGAGCATCCTTCCAAGTTGTGCAATTCCTTGCTTACTGTGTAATTTTTAACCATAGTCTACTTTTTGATACTTCTTTTTTACAGAAAATGGTCAGTGATGATGGGATAATGGTATCTCTTGTTAGCCTAGGGCAGAATTATGAACCCATTTAGGACTGATCTGTGTGAACCTCACAGAGGTTCAACTGCTTCATCTGCAGAGGAAACAATTAGACTACAATGGCTCTTCTTGTCCTCACACTTGCTTTTTGACACAATCCACCCAAAATTCAGGTTAGTGTTCACTGAGAGACTGCTGAAGACCTACTTTTTTAGGGATAGGATCAACCTGCAAGAGAGACACAGAGTCAGCTTCTGAAAAATCTCATCATCCCATGGTTTCATTATGAATGGAGTGAACCTTCTCCTTTTCATATAAGGATTGAAGGCACTAAACTCCAGGGCTTGGGAAGGGTTAGCTGCAATTGTTGAAAAATAAAGTACCAGAGAAATTCCTTTCAGAGAAGTGCTTCTGGGTTTCCCATCATAAAGATGCTAGATAAAGTGCTTGTATATTTTAGAAGTCATTTTGCCTTGCTTTCATAAAACTAGATGCAAATTTTATTTTCACTAAAACTTCCAGCCCCAAAAGTGTCACTTAGGTTAAGAAATGCAAATATGACAGCTAGCTATCTTGCTCTGCTTGGGGGAAAAAAGAATCAACAAATCCCACCGACAGTGTCTAGTGTTTGTTTGTTCATTTTGTCTTGTTTTTGTTTCTTGAGATGGAGTCTCACTATATTGCTTAGGCTGGCCTTGAACTCACTGTGATCCTGCTGCCTCTGCCCTTTGAGTGTTGGGGTTGCAGGCATGTGCCACCATTCCTGACTGCTGTCTCTTTTAAAAGAAAGAAGTATACAGAAAATGTACCCCAAAACTGTTTTCATATTCATACTACTAATTGGTAGTTTGCATCAGAGAGGTAGTTTTGATAAGATGTAAAGTTCTAGAAGCACAGATAGTACAACCAGATTCCATGCTTTCCACAACAGGAATACAGGAATACCTTCTTCTGGAAATAAGGGTTTCACTTTTAACCCTGTGCAATGGTAAATATCCCATCAGGACCCCTGATATGCATGTGCTGAGACTGTTTTCACAGCAGGGGCAGAGGGTTTGCACTAAAACATCTAGCACTATAGGGCACGGTGGTGCACAGCTATGATCCCTACACTCAAGGAGCCGAGGCAGGAGGATCACTAGTTCAAACCCAGTACAGGCAACTTAGTGAGACTGTCTCTCAAAATAAGTAAAAAACAAAAAGGTCTGGAGGTGTAACTCAGGGTGGCTATTGGCATTGTCATATTATAAACGTTTAGCTGCAGGATGAAGGCAATGACTCAGCTGGGACTCTGTCCACAAGGAAAACAGAGGGGAAGGAAATGTCCAGATCAGAAGCATCCAGGACATTTGCCAAAGCAACACACTGAGTTAGCTCATAGGACTCTCAGTAATTTTTGTTGTTGTGTTTATTCTGCTTTAAAATCACATGCAATTGCACAACTGATGGGAACCTTTAAAACAGAAGAGATTTTTGTCAGACCACATTCATGAATATAATATAGAACCTGCATTTGTGTAATAGCAAAAATTCATATCAGCAAAAATTCATTGACAACCTACAGGATGATTCAGCGCTTCTGGTTATGCTCTGAATATATGAAAGACTTCTGGGATGTTGCATTAAGTCCTGTGGAGACCCTCACAGGTGAAGAAATAACTCCATTCACTGCCACATGTACTGAAAAAAATATTGCTTACACCAAAATTAAAGTTGTCATGTTCAGTATTTTTAACGGCAAAATCTAAACAAATTCCCAAGAGAACTTTTCTTATCTTGTAGTGCCTCTGCTTCACTAAGTGTGAGTTTAAACTGCCCACTGGGTAATCCAGCTGCTGATAGATGGCCCAACTGCTGACTCAGAGATTACAATTCATATGTGTGTGAAATCCCAAAAGATCACGTGTCACCAACTTTTAATATTCTTCAAAGGGCTGCAATGTATGGGTTTGTAATACCTCAGAGGATCCGCTTTTACCAAAAAAAATTGAATTGATTTCAAGTTCATGGGTCAGTGAATCCCTGGATCCTCAACCAATGTGACATTAAAGGAATCCAGATCATATATATGTATATATATACATATGTATATGTATAAATCCTCATATAGAACAATTCACTTTCTAGTGTGTGACACATTTTCCTTCCTAAGATCTCACCCGGCAGAACTTTGTTTTGCTGCTGCTGAACCTAATCTGTGCTCCAGCCTAACAGTTAGTGTTTTAAATCTTAAAAGCTGAAGTACCTTTTACCAACAAGTCAGATGGTAAATCAGTTATACAGACCATAACAGCTAGTGCAGAACAAGTTCAGCTGGGACATGAGGTGATGAACATGGCGTGGAACCAAGACATTCTTCTAACTCAGGGACTAGGTACTTAGTGCTTGGTGACACGAGCAGAAATCTCCTTCTGATTTGCTGTTGATGAAGCAACACAACTTACAGTATAATCAATTACCCATGCAGGATAATTGGACATAGGAAATGTCTCCCGCTGAAAATGGACAGCTTAGCCACTTTCTTGTCACTAGGACAAAATACCCACAATATAAAAGAGGTGAGGTTTATTTTAACTCCATGGTAAGCTGACTTGATGGCAGAAACAAGAAAAGTGTCACGGTATATGTAACATGTTATTTTTCAGTACATGTGGCAGGAAATGGGGTTATCGCTTCAGTTGTTAGAGACTCTGGGCCACAACAGCCAGGAATTAGAGAGGGACCGCGGGAACCAGGGACCCTTTCAAGGTCACACTCCCAGTGACTCATCTCTAACCAGGCCTCACCACCCACCAGCATCTCCAGGTCCTGGACTCACTAGCTGAGAACCTCACTGCTGAGTGAGCAACCTGGTGATCTAATGGCTCTTGGGGCCATTTTAGATCTAAAACATAACAGTGGGTCTTAACTCATGTTTCTATAGATCAGCTTAAAAAACCCTCATAGCATAACAGAGTGTGTATGCCAGACTACTAAGACACTCATGAAAGAAGTGCATATTGTGTTCCTACATGGTGTCTCACTCAGGAGAAAGCAGGAAGCCGGAGAGCTGGGCCCCTGCTCACGCTGGTTTGGAGAAGATTCAGCCTCAGATCGCTGTGAACTAAACACCCAGAAAGGGCGCCTCCTTTCATTGCTTGCTGTGCAATGAAAAGATCAGTTGGGCAGAAAATTAAGAGTCAATCTGTTATCATGAGAACTTCTAGGAACTTTCAGTATTCTAAACATGTGCAAAATCATATTTCACCAATAGACCTGCATGCCGGTCACAAACACGTGTGCTACTAAGCAAGGACAGAAATGGGGAACGGCTTTCATTTATATGGATTTCCATGTGGCAAACTCATCCTACGTGTAAACCGGCGTAAAAATGCTGTGCTGTTGTATAAAAATGTGTTGATGTAACACATACAGGATCAAATTATCTGAGTATTAAACATGCCATTATTCACTAAGAAACAGTTTGTTTAAAAAGAAAAACAGAAAACCTCTTCTAGCTCCGTATAAAAGCAAATTATCTTATACAGACTCCTACACCTCCGCGTGATGCTATCACTGTTAATGAAAACAACACCGCCCATTATCAAAGCTGTCATTTTTGTATTTGGAACAGGAGTGCATGAATAATTTTGTACCTTTCCGCTGTCTGTGACATGTTTTACTCTTCCAAAATGAGGAGTAATATTAAAAGTCTATTTTGCAGTAATCATTGGTGCTTTTTATTTACTAGAGGTAAAAATCAACATCTGACACCATAAGCATATTTTGCGGTCACAAACTTGATTCCAAAATCCATAGAGGAAAACAATCAGCTCTCCGAGGATTTGTCTTCCCAGAGGGATGCTGTCTGGCTGTGCAGCGCCTGCTGAGCAGCCCTGGGTTATTTGAGGACAAGAGACTCGTGCTCCGCAATGCCATACTTCCCTTTGTGCTCCTCGAACAGCTTCCTCAGCTCCTCCATGTAGGTCTGGTGCAGCTCCTCCACCTGCTGCTGGGTCGGGTGTGGAGTCCGCTGAACAGGGATCGGGCGGCCCACTGCAGAAACAGAGCAGAAACCAGCAGGCGTCGCCCCAGCCCACGCCGCCCTGACGCTGCGGGAGCCACGCGGGTCGGGAACCCCGCCTCTCCCAGGCCAGGCCCCTGCCCTGGCTGCCAGCGCTCTCACAGCCTCCCACCGGCAACAAACGCTGCTCTGGCTTCACAGCGGACCCTGGATCCTCCGCGTCCTTGTGGGTGTGACCCCGGGTCGGAGGAGCTAGTGTGCTGACTCCCCCTGACAGCACAGCCAGACCACAGACCTTACTATCACCAACTGTGAAGTCCTCCAGGCACGGGGCTCCCTCTGTTCCAACTCTCCAGAACCTTTCTTAACAACAAACACCGCGTATCCTTGTAGCTAAGGACCTGAACTAGAGAAATACATATCACAAGGGTTCCACTGTTGGTAATCGTGGGGAACTAAAAAGCAACTGAAAGTCTCAACAGAAGAACTATCAAATAAACCGTGACACATCCATTCAGTGGCATCTTAGGCAGTGATGGTCTTAGAAGAGAGAGAGTATGGATAGACATAGGCACACACTGACAGAGACAAAAGATGTCTGAACCGTATGAAGTGGAAAAGTAAGTTGTGAAATGAAGCTCGGTCCTATTTATGAAAACATTTTCTATTTCTACATGAATCGATGTTGCTGGTGCATAGAAAAACACGTGGGCTGGAAAAGTAAAACAGTCCCTCTAGAGAAACACAGGTGGAGGAGCTTTCTTCCTTTTTTCTCTTTCTTTCTTTCTTTTTCTTTTTTCTGTATTGTATGACTTTCCTACGAATGCTTTATGTGTGTAATTACAAACAGACTAATTAATGAAGAATAAGTCTGGCTACTTCCATACACATTTTGAACGTATTTATGTAATACGCACACCTCATTTGGCTATTTAGAAAATTCAAAGTACATACAGCTTTGGTGCTCGAACTCACGGCACCCCCTGCTGGTCTGATGCTGCTACTGACGCCTAGGGCTGAAAATGTGTAGCATGATTGGCTGCCAAGTGGGCAGTAAACCCCTCCTGACCTTTGATAGGCTTTAGCTCCAGGTCAATCTATGGGGCTGAAATTAAGGAATGGAGCCAGCAGTGGAGGTGGTTTTCCTGGCCTTACGCTCCTTTGCTCTACGGTACTTACGAGGCTTAGATCCGTATCAGTAGTAGAAAGTGTCTAGCTAAGAGAAAACTCAGCAAATGTTAACGGAACAAGGGAAAGTGGTGCGGGACGTCTATTTGTAATGGATCTGAGGATGGGCAGAGAAAGGAGTTTTGTACACACATCTGTAGGACAGCATTAATAATCTCTAACTGCTATGTATTTCACTAGGGCCTCCAGAAAGCCTTGCATACAGTTTGATAGCTTGTATTTTTTATAAGATTTTTTTTTTTTTTTTGGAGTCATGTCTCACTATGTAGTGTAGGCTGGCTTTGAACTTATTCAGTAGCCCAGGCTGGCCTCAAACTTGCAGTGATCCTCCTGCCTCACCCTCTCTCACCTACTCATCTCTGGCATTTTCCTCTGCTTTGCTTCCCAGCATCCATGAACTAAGCAGCTTTTCTTGGCCAGGCCTTCCTACTGTGATGTTGCTGCTTAGAGTCAGCCTATCATGAATTGAAACTAGGAGCAAATTAAATGTTTCCTCCTTTAACTTGTGGGTATCAGTCATTGCGTCTCAGTGGCAGGAAGCCTGACTAATATTCCTTGGTTGTCAAGTGTATACACAAAAGCTACCACTCCTTTTTAACTCAGCATGAGTGCCAGAAACATAACCGTCTTCTTGTCAGCGGTTGGAAATATGGTCTAAGGGAGGCTTAGGTGGTGATGGGGTGAAGCCAGGAGCTGGTGTGGGGGGGTAAAGAGCACGGGCTCCCTGGGCCTACCCTTAGCCTGTCTGCAAGTAGAAGAAACAAGTAAATTTCTCTTCGCTCTTAATTTTTACTTACAAGGAATAAAAGAATAAAAATGAGAGATCTCAAAGCTTCCTCCTATCTGTGAGTTTTGAGGAAAAAAATTAGAAATCCACTTGCAAATCTACTAGAAAATTTACAATGCTATAGAAATAAACAATTCGATGTGGGGCTGGGGGCTAACAAAGAAACATGGTGTTCTGAAATGAGGTTTCTATGTGTTTTCGCGTGTTTCCGAGGTGGTGTACTGAACCCACAACCTTGTGCATGCTCAGTGCTCTTCTGCTGGGCTACATCCCCGGCACCCCTGCTTACTTTAATTAGGATTCAAATATCTGAATTTCCAAGTCTTCTTTCCCAGGAGCTATTTTCTAAATAAGTTTGGTCTTGTTATTGTCTTACTGATAGATTTTATTTCTTATTTCAGACGGTTGTCCCAGGGAGCTCAAACATGCCCACAGACAGTGAAGGAAGCATGCACCTTCCCTTTCAGATGAAATGTAGGGATGGCCTCTGAGCAGATGGCACTGCACTGAGGACACTAGAGCATCCGGGCCTTCTCTGTCACACAGTCTCAGAAGGGACCTTTGCCTTCTGCAGACGTGAGGGCAGGGGAAGGCATGGCACATCATGGCATTGGCTGTGGGAGCCCCTATGTTGCTTCAAATCCCAGCTGATAAGGCCCCGCCGAGATTTACCTAGTCATCACGGTGATAGTACAATGCTGAGTCATCATGGCGCTCGGCTTCTTCTTCCCAGAAGCCCCTGAGGCTGCTTTCTCCCAGAAGTCTTTGCCAAAGCTCATGTGTGTGAACATTTACCCAATCCCCTGCACTCTCACACAGTAAGTTAGCTTACATAGGTCCCCAAAGCCCTTCCCCCATCAGAGCCTATATAAGACAAAACCCGCCCTATTGCTGCAGAGAACCATCACAGCCTTCTTTGTGGTGACTCCCTCCCTGCTTGCAGTAAACTCTTTCTTATCCAGCTGCCTCCTCTCTTTCAACATGCTGCGCATCTCTAGATTGAGTACAAAGTTTCAACTCAATCACCAGCCCCATTGCAATTTAGCCCTAACCACTGAGGCCCAAGCCTATTTCCTGGGGCACCAACGCATGAAGAGCCTGGTAGTGCACATTTTTATTACTGTTTAGCTCGTACAAACTCTACTGCTGTGAGTGTCACATGAAAAGATACACCTAGAACTGTTCTGAACTGAGTCATTGCAAATTGGGATGTTCTGCAAAGGGTCCCCGGAGACCTTAAAAGCCTGACGTCTCTCTATCCACAAAAATGGAACTTATTTCTACTAAGCACTCACCACAGCTGTGTGCAAATTCTGCAAATTTCCTTTTATATCAAAAAGGGGAAAAAACCCCAGCTACACTAGGCTGCTCTTGGAAATAGAACCTCCTTACCCAGGAAAACCAAACTACTTGTGGGAGAGTCAGAAATCATAGCTTTTCTTTGGGTCTCATTGTTTCGTACCACTATTTCAGTTTCCAGTTTCATCCAACTAGTCAAGATTGTTTATGCAAAAACAAAACAACAGCGATGACTATTTATGCATTTGTGGCCAAATGTTTTTTCCTTCCATTTTCCTATTTTCGTCTTTTTCCCCACCACCTTGTTCTCCTTGCTGTTTGAACAGATTCTTCCTACTTCCCAGTATCCATCCACCACTATACTCTTCATTTACCATTTGAGTTTCTCACACAAGGGAAACAAAGGAATATTTAAGCTTTGAGTCTCACTTATTTCACTTAACTTATGACCTTGAGGTACATGTATTTGCCTACAAATGGCTTGAGTTTATCCTTCTTTATGGCAGAGTAGTACTTCATTATATATAAATGCCTCGTTTTCTTTATTCATTCAACTTTTGATGGATATATGGGCTGTTTCGAAGAGTTAGCTATTATAAATTCTGCTGCTATAAATATGGATATACATATATAAACTTGGTATAATGCTTTAACTCTTTCAGGAAGATACCCAGAAGGGGAACAGCTGGATCAAATAGAACCTCTACTTTTAGCTTTTTTGGAAAAAAAAATTGTCTTTCTGATTTCCATAGTGGTTGTACCATCTTACACTCCTACTAGCAATACAGAAGGGTTTCTTTTTCCCTACAGCTCCAACAATATCTATTATTGATTGGTTTCTTGATAACAGCCATTCTTTTTGGGGAGAGACGGAATCTCAGTGTTGTTTTAATTTGCATTTCTTGAATGTCTAATATTGTTGAGCTTTCTTCTCGTGTATTTATTTGCCATTTGTAATTCTGCATCTGAGAAATGTCTATTCATTTCAGATGCCCATTTTTGGAGTGGGTCTTTAAATGTGGGGGATCTGATTCTTTTTGTTCTTTATATATTCTATATAAAGAGACACTCAACAGTTACCACCATTACTTTATCTCAGTGTTCTACTGCACTAACCTACAGGTAGCAAACCTTCCATCTGAGTGAAAGCGTAGCGTTTGAAGATGTGTGCCTATATGTGACATGTGACACTCAAATTGAAAGTGCAGCCTTTTTGTAAATAAAATTCATACTGTAAACTAAAGCTGAAGTAACTCATATGCAGTATTTATCTAGGAAATCCTTTCCAAAGCCACTTCTTTTGCATCAGCCCATTGCTCAGGAAAAGTCAACACTGCTCCAAGCAAGATAAGAGTTCTGTTCCCTGCATGTACATACCGACAGTGTGGACAGGCTTCCGATAAGGCATTAGCCCAAATGTGCCCTGAAAAATTCCTCTGCCGTAAAACAGCGGCAAAGCGATACTCATGATCTTCTGCAGTCTGTTTTGGACAGTTCGAACCCAGGAGCCTTCAGGATTTTGTATTTGCTTATACACATCATTTTCACCAAAAGAAAACACAGGGACCAAGTAGGCACTGTGAAGAACAAAAGGCAAAGCAAGGCCTGAAATGATTGTTCCTTCCAGCTGGCTTTTGTGACAAAGCACTAAAACTTTTTCAAGCTTCCCCATCTATCTTGCTAGTTTCCTGTCTGAAACAATGAACACAGCATTATACTTGGCATCCTCTAGAAAGGTACTGCCCCCAAGCAGGCTGGTGGTGGAATTTTATCCCAAGAAAAATCAAGGTTCCAAGCTAGGCCTGGGGACACATGACTGTCACTCTGGGAGGCTGAGGTACAGAGATCTTAGCCAGGCTCACACTAAACAAACCACAAGGAAAGAAAAGTGAAAACAGAAAACAGTTGGAGAAGGTCCTGGGTTTAGGGCCCAGGAAGCGTCCTTCATTAGCTTTTCCACTTATTTATTTACTTTTTGACACAGGATCTCACAATGTGGTCCTGGTTGGCCTTGGATTTGTGATACTCCTGCCTCAGACTCTCAAGGGCTGGGTTTCAGGTGCACCCTACCATGCCTGGCTACCGTACCTGCTTTTATTTTCAGATCAACTTGGACAGGGTCTTCAAGGGATAGAAAAATGACTTTCCTTCTTTGTATTCATTGAATAATGTTTTAGTCTTCCTGACCCAGTTCCCCTAAGGAAAGAAAACATTTACCCATGGGTCAAAGCCATTGTCACAAATCCTTTCCGCTGCCGGATGAACAATGTGAAATTCCCCGGATGGGTGTCCAGTGACTCTTTGGCGCCTCCAAGCATGATGACTGAAATGTTTCCACCTCCCTTCTTGCTCAACACATAGGACAAAGATTTCTTGGAAACTGAAAGCACACCTTAGTGAATAAAACAGAAAGCGTAACTAGACCACCGCCTTTGCATCAATGACCATTTTCCACAGTATTCTACGGCAACAGTGAACATTTACCAAAGATTTTTACACAGCTTAGCTTTGGGGCTCTGTGCAAGTTCGTGATTTTATCACAGCCAAGTCTTGGTAACGTAATTCTGTTAATAAGGTCTAGAGTTTTGAGAAGGTCATGGGTTTGGTTTATAAAACATCACCTGATCCTTCCAAGGGCTGCTACTGGTTTGGGTAGATTGCATACTGCTTAGCTCTATGGATCCCACTTGGTTTACAGTCTGTGTACAAAGTGTTTCCCCTGCACTGATCAGTGCACAGCTATTCGAGGCAGCCTTGACCTTACCCTGGTGGATCCTGGTGCAGTATTAAAAAGTATTGTGTATTTTCCAACAGAACTCAGTGCCTCTTCTGCACGTACAATGCCCCCCTTCCCAGTACCTATATGGATTCTTATTTTCTAAACCAGCATTTCTAATACAAATGATTTTAAAATTTGGTCATCTAATACACTTGCCAGATCCTGACATGCTTTGGAAATGGAGTCTGAGTTTAGCAAATAGTTAAGAAAGTTACATAATGTTCAGTCTATATATCAGAATTTCCCCTGCAAAAAGTACTTAAGATTCCTTTTCAGATTTTAACTCCAGGATGGAGTTGAAAGAAAACCGAAAAGTATAAAGAGGAAAAGACATTCCCATCATGACCCACTTTTCAGACATAATAGCTTTTTAATGGTCTCTGTTTCCTCCCGTTCTGAGTTTTACCCAGTTTAAAGTCATAACAGAAATGTTAGACCTTGTAAAGACTTAGCACACTTCTATGTGTAAAGGAACTGATGTGCTAATTTTACTCTTAGTTCCTATCATTGGAGGAATGCAAAATCATGCCAGGGTTCTGAACGACCACTTTCTCAAAAGAGGAGCCAAAGAGGATTACAGGGTGAAGAACCTGGGCCTTCCTGGGCAGATGTGAACTTTACCCGAGCCCCTGGTCCATTCTCCTTCATGTGAGTTCAGTGGACATCCCGGTATCTCTCCTATTGACAAGGGGGCCTCCTGGATGTCCAGTGCCTCTGGTCACTTCCCTTGACAAGCTCCCTGTCAGCACGCCACCATCAAAGCCACTGCACTAGACTGACCTGCTCTCCTGATCATCCACAATGGGCCTCTGGTCACCACAGTTTTTAGGCTCATGCCCTCCAACCCTGCTGCCAGCTGCTGCTTGGATGATCTTTCTAACATACAAAATCTCGTTGGGTCCTTTCTGCACAGTCCCTCACCAGTTCTCTGTGGTTTATCTACGGGACAAAGTCTAAAGTCCTCTGCATGTGTGCAAGGCTGTTGTGCTCAGATCCCTGTGACCTGCACAGCCTTAATGTGTAGACAAAGAGGGATGTGAGCCTGGACACACACATACAATCTGCTCTCGCTGACTCCTGGTGAGTGCTGATTTCTAGGAGGAATATTGCCAACACTCTACTTAAGAGACAAGGACAGCCCAAGCCTCACTGGCTACAAGTTTGGATACTCTTGTTTAGCATTTAAGACACTAACAGTTTGAGGCAAAGGGAAAGATTTCATGATATCATAAAGTAGTGACAGCAGACAGGTTTCATCTTAAGGCCAACTCTGGTGGCAATTGTTGCAGGCATTGTCTGGAGAGGACTCTGAGATCGACTGCTTATGTCTGACTCTGCCATGGACAGAGATGTACATGCGTCTAATGCCGTGAAGTTGCCACACCCGTTCTCAATTACACTACTCAGATTCACCTGTGGCTATATTTTGAATCAACATGTGGCACAAGGTAACTATATTTCTGTGATTTCAAAAAATTTAAACTGTTTTCTTTAATTTTCTCACTTTTCTAGCACTTTAACCCAATGTCTGCAAAACAAGTAGAAGAGTCATTTTTCTCCTTGGCAGTTGGGAGGGTAGTTGGTTCGCCCTCTAGAGTGCAGATGTGAGAATTTCAGGTACTTGGGGTGGAAGCAGGAGCGTAGTGTGCCCTCTACTGGTGACTTTATGTCACCCTGCACCGAGCTGGTTCTTGGCTCAGAACCAGCACCAGAGACAGAACCAGAATCTTAAAAGTCCGCCAAGGGTCCTTATTGATGCTTAATAACTTTCTACTAGCTATATAATGACAAGTGTTTTGAGAAATTAAAAAGAAGTGATGAAAATGTGGAAGATCACATAAAATTGTTTCCCTAAATATACCACTTGACTTTGATATTATAATTTTTCAGTTTTCTTTATACCCAGGAAGGATAATACACAATATCCACCAATATACAACTTTAAACATCACTGTAGTTCATGTTTAGTCAGTAATTTGATCCAGTTGAAACTCAAAAAATTGAGCCCTGTAAGTTGAATGACAGCTAGCAACACAGGCTTTGGCTTCTTAAATACATTTGTATCTTTATAACACTTCAGATTAATTTTATTCTCAGAATTGGTAGTTACAGTTTTGCAATTCAGAGAGTATCCCACTGGTTGAGAGTAACAGAGTAAAATTAAAATGCTCTCTGTCTGTCTCCGTCTGTCTGTCTGTCAGTCTCTCACTTTCTCTCTCTCTCTCTCTCTCTCTCTCTCTCTCTCTCTCTCTCTCTCTCTCTCATAGAACCCAACAGCTTGCGCATTCTAGACAAGCAAGCACTCTGCCTCTGAGCTACACCATCATCCCCAGGATGTTTCAGTTTTTAACCGAGTCATATTTTGTATCGGAAGACAAAGAGAGCAGCTAAGTATGTATGGATTATGTCGCTGTGATTACTTCAAGACACAAGGGGGGTATTTTTCACTTCAAATACATAAGTATGCAAAATGACTCTCAGAAGGAGTGAATTATAGAACTAAGGTTGTCTTTTTTCTACCTCGAGACATTCAAAATGTATTCATTAATTTCTCCTTTCACTAGGTTACTACTTCCTGATGTTGGATACTGGGATAGAACAGGAAAAAGGACACAGGCTATGTAACCCGGCACCACGATTCCAGTAGAGAAGGTGAGGAACATCCAGAGCACCTATGAAATGCCAGGAGGGGAGGTGGACAGAGGATTTACTCAGAGGGCGCATAACCCACAGGGACTTTCTGCATGCAGCAGACACAGTTCCCTGCCAGCACTTACCCACACTGATCATATATTCTCGAAGGAGGGGGAACAGAAACCAACACGAAGTCCCATGAAAATATGGAGTTAAGCCAGGAAACAGCTTCTCGAAGTCTGGAGATTTTAAAGCAAAATTTCCAAAGGTTCCAAACGAAAATATCCCATGGGGATGAGCCCCAAATATATAGTTGTGACTGGGATCCAAATCGTGAGTTTTGATGAGCTATGTCACATGTTTATAGGGAAATAAAATAAATAAAACATCCCCTTATTAGTTTCAGTGAAAATTAAAGGATGCATGATTAGTTCTTACATTAAGAGGACACAGAGAACACAATGTGTTTTAGCTTCCTGGGTTGGGGCTATCTGTGGATATCTACACTATCCACTGAGTCCGAATCCCTTCACAAACAGCCTTCCAGATTCCGGCAACTGGGCTGAAAGCCCATTTATTAATGTAGGTCAAGGTGTAGGCTTTCTTCCTGCTGTGGTTTCAATGTGTCCTCCAAAGAGCAGGTACGGGAAATTCAATCTTGAATGCACGCAATGCACAGTGTTGGAAAGTGATGCCTATGACAGAAGATTAAGCCTTGAGGGCAAAGAAACACAACAGTGTGGGGAATGGGTTCTTCTAGAAGGACAAGTTTGGCCCCCTTCCATTCTCATTTACACTGTCTTGCTTTCCTGCATCTGCCATAGGATAAGGTAGCAACAGGGCCCTTGGCAGAAGTTGGCATCTTGATACCAGACCTTTATTTTGTGATGAAAGAAATTTACTTTCTCTGTAGTGTACACAGTCTCCATTATAGGAGCACAGTAGGAACTTAGACACTCCCTTTGAAAAGGAAAATGCTTTAGATGTATATAATGAAAACAATTTTCCACTCTTCTCCCAATCAGAACAACACTGTAGAAAATAAGTCTACTCACATGAATTGGAAAATAGTCCCTGAAGTGTCTCCAAATCTTCCAGTTTCCAATACAGTTGGATTTCCTGCCTCCTTTCTCTGGGGTCCGCCAATCAAAGTAGAGCCATGTCAAATAAGGGAGGTAAAGGAACCAAAAGTTGTGCACAATCACTATCACCACGATGCCAATACTCACTTGAACTGTGAGAAAAGGAAAAGCTTCATGAAACCAGGATCAGTAATGTCTGCATTTGCAGTCTTTGGCCCATAGTACATGGATTTAACATGTAAAAGTCTATTTATCTGAAAGTTGGTTCAGGTAAGGTAATGTGGCAAGACAGGCATGATATATTATTATTTAGCACTCATGTGATGCTTGTTATATGCTAAGCATTATATTTCTACTTTCTTTTTTGTATGTATATTTGTACTTTCTGTCTGGATACTTTTATTTATTCTTCATAGCCACAGCACCAATAAAGGAGCCATAGTGTTCTAAACATTCCTTTTACAGAGCAGAAAATAAAAAGTTAGAAAGGTAAGGTGAGCCACCAAAAAGGTTCCACACTCAGCCATGGACTTGCACATCCCCACCCCCAGCATGAAATACGAACAGATCATCACTTGTGGAATGGAGGGAGAGAACCCGATCAAGTTGGTTCAATGGCATGCCTCAAATGATACCCCAGGTGTCTGAGTAGTAGCACCTTGATCTACCACTGAGATACAGTAGTTCTCCTTATATGTCAGGGATTTGAGCAATGGATGTCTGAAACCACAGATGATCCTAACCCCTATATACACTATAACTTTTCCTATACCCACATATATATACAAGGTTTAAGTGATAAATTAGGCACAGTAAGAGATTAAGAAAAACAACTAATAACAAAGAACAATTAACATAATATACCCTAATAGTTATTAAAAGCATCAATTGTTTCTACAATTTTCCACTTAATGATATTAGACCATGGCTGAATACAGGCAACTAAAACCATGAAAACCAAAAACTGGATAAATGGGACATGCATACTGATATACGTGACTGTATCTACAAAGAGACACATAGATTACTGTATATAAATATGTACATACTGATATACTTGTACACATACACACATGAACATGCACAATGTGCATATATTTGGCCAATGGGGACCATTAATCATGATTGTCAACTTGACTGGATCAAGAAAGCCTAGCAGATTAGTCAAGCACATGTCTGGGTGTGCCGATGGGATGTTTCTAGAGGCAACTTCAGTGAAGGCTTCAAACAGGAAAGAAGCCCCCAGTGAAGTGGGGGAGGGAGATATATCCTTTTATATCATGGCCCCAGTGCCCCACCTCCTCCAACCAGACCCCATTCCTAACAGTCATCTACAACAGCCCTATAGCCCCAATCACCTTCCAAAAGCCGCCACCTAAGAGGACATGAGGCTCTTGGGGGATGCACAGATATAAGCCATGGCACTTCAATTGTCAGCCAGTCCTTCAGAGGAATAGACCACAGCCTGGACTGCAGACTGACATCCGAGGTGGGGGCAGTCTAGTGGACTGAGCCCCCTTAACTTGTGGAGTCTAAGGTTAACTCCAGGTAAAAAGTATCAGAAGGGCATTATAGCATGCTTACTTAGGTGCCTGAAGAGTTGAAGGAAGGATTGGTGTGGAGTGGGGAAGTGGGATAAAGCTTGTGCTGTCCACAAAAATCAACTCAAAGTGGACACAGGCCTAAATGTAAAATCTAGAACTATAAAACTCTTAGAATATAATGCAGCAAGAAAATGTAAGTGATCTTGAGTCTGTTGGTGAGGTTTACACACAATGCCAAAGAAACAGCCCATGGGTTAGCTGCCACAGCTACTGTGACTTCTCTGCCTGTGTGAGACTGCAGGACACATGCATTGATTTACTGCTGTCACCATCTGCGTAGATCCAGTTTAGCCACACACACTGCAAAAAGCAGGCCTGACAGTAAACACGTGTTGAAATGGGGAAGAAGGGAAGGTGATAGAGTAAAAGTTGGAAGTCCATCATGGTCTTTCAAGGATCTAGATTCCAGACACCTGGAAAACGACAACTTAAACAGAATAAGAGGAAGACGCGGGAAAGGAGAGGAAAGGAAAGGGAAGGGAAGGGAAGGGAAGGGAAGGGAAGGGAAGGGAAGGGGAGGGGAGGGGAGGGAGGGGAGGGAATGGAAGGGAAGGGGAGGGTAGGGGAGGGGAGGGGAGGGAAGGAAAGGAAAAGGAAAGGAAAACAACGAAGGACCACCCCTCTGTCCTTCAAAAGCTGATCTGAAGGACACTAAAGGAGAGAAAGTTACAGGCAAGGATCCTAAAAGCCAATGCTGAAAATATATGAAGAGCTCAAAGAAAAAACTCATAAGAAATTTCATAATATATATAATATACTTAAAGAGAATTGCATAAATATATAAAAGATTTTACTAATAAAATATTCAACAAATTTAAAGAAGAAACAAGCAACAAACTGAATTAAGGCAGTACAAAGTATGGATGATCAGTGTGGTAAGTAATTAGAAATCACAGAAAGAAAACGGCAGACATGTAACATGCAAAATTGAGTAGAAACCATAACAAGAGGATTGGACCTCTGTGAGAACAGAGCATCAGAAATCAAAGGCAAAGTGGACCCAAACTCAGTGATACCCTAAAAATGACATGGCACCACACAGGCTCAATGCAATAGTTGTTAAGTGACTCAAAAAAACATCAAAATCATAGAAATATGGGACAAATTAAAAGACAGTTCAAAAGGTATAAAAAATTATTCCTTGATAAATTTCCAAATCCAAAACTTTCCAAATCGAGGGTAAGAATACAATATTCAAGTATAAGAATCAAATAGAACCTCAAACATCCATGACCAGAAACAAACGTCTTTAGCATACATTGTAGTCAAAACTTCAGAAATTCAATAAAAGGAGAGAATACTAAACTTTTTTTTTAAGCAGCAAGTTATTTATAAAGG